TTGTGTTCTGGAAGTTCACCGTGTTCTACACAAAGTGGTGTATGATACTATCATCCCACTTATGAGCAAATGAGCCTTCACAATATCATACTCGTGCTTATAAAAGTTACAACAGTTGATGCATGGGCACTTAATCTCCCTACCCTCACCCAAATGAACCTTTGCAAATTCAATAAATGAGTTCACCCCATCTACATATGGCTGACTGAATCTATCAGAAATTAACATCCAACTCCTGTCCATATCTGATCATAAAATAGTAGTTAATACCAATAGGACACAACCTTTTATTTATATTATTATTATTTATTTTTTATTCTTTAAACATGAAGACAATTAGTTAATATAAGTGTAGAGTGACACATCATCGTCAATAAAGGTGCATCTACCTATAGGCTTTTTTAATTTTGTATCAAGGTTTCGACCAACAAATCCTTTAAAATTCTATTATATCTGCATATATTATGTATTAAGTTAAGTGTTTTTTACATTTATCAACAAAAAAACAAAAAAATATATATTTTTAATGTCTGTTAAATGGTAAAAGGCAGTTGGCATGGCAATGTACTATTCCAATTCATTCCAATATCATTCTTAAAGGACATTACCTAATGGGCTCCTACAAATTAAGGGCATAGGGAAGGACTAAGAGTGGCTACAGGCCTAACCTCTGTAATATTTGTGGGAAGGGACTACATTTTTCAATTCCAACCCATATTTTTCATACACGGGAACTCAAGCATTTACCACATACACCAATCAATACCCCCTCTTTGATGAAACTTCTATGTTTATCTAAAAGGGGTTTTCAGCTCTCCTAAAAAGCCCTAGCACAAATTACATCTAGCTACTGCATCTAAATTTTCTACTAATGAACCTATGCATTTACTTCCTGTCATGCAACTTGATCATAAGATTTACACTCTTAGAGCATCTCCAACCACACTCTTTTTTTTTCACTAGCTAAAGTATAAAAAAATACACTCTTTATTTTACCTAATTAGTTAGCTAGTGTGTTCCAACCATACTCTTTATTTTAGCTAGTCATTCAAACTAATTTAACCATTTTTCAAAACAAAAAATGCTGTATATATAATATATATCACTCTTTTTCATAGAATGCCACATATGCACCTACACTCTAATATGGTTGACAATGTGACATTGCGATAATATTTTTAAAAAATAATATTTTTTAATATTAGTTTTAAAAATATTATAAAAAATAATTTTAAGTAATATTTAATTTTTTTTTTTTATAAAATTTATAGTATGTGAATATATTTCAACATTGAATTTGGTGGAACCATCTTGAAAGGGAAGGGACGGGAAGAATAAAAGAAAACAATAAAGAATATGAATCAACAAAACACCATGCTTATTCTATCAAGCCTATATGATTCAGTTTGGCTCGAATTGTTATATGGAAGACCATTGAGTGTAATGAGGACCAAATCTTCATCATCCATTGGTGAAGTAAAGCAGCCAAAGCTAGGTGATCTGACATCTCCTTAATATGATTCAAGAATTCTTCCATCAAAAAACAAGATTTGACCACATTGTGAAGTTTATTCTTCAACTGATTTTGCAAGAATTTAGGGTCGGTTAGGATATATGTGTTCGATGAAATTAAAAATTATTATACAGTTGATTATTATAAGGGAAAAAAAACTATAGAAAAAGATAAATTGAGGTAAAGAAAAGTATTTTAGCAGAATCTTTTAAGAAGAGAAGTTTTAGCATGATTTCAAATAACTATTTTTATATAATTAGTAACGGCTAGCATCCGCGATGCACATGCAATTTAAATAATAAAAATAAAACAAAAAAAACTATTATTATATTCTGTGTCACTTAAGGGGTAAGAGCCTTCTTTGCTAGTTAAGACATCAAATGAAGCCTTTGCTTTATATAATAGTATAGATTTTTAATTCATCATTAAAACTATGGAGGGATAAAAATTAACTCATGTGATGTGGACCCACCCAATACCTACATGGAATAAGGATTAAGATAATAAAATAAACAACTTGCAATGCAACTTGCCAACTTCCCAAGTTGCTATGACATACATATATCAGATGTGTTTTGGGCCATACAAGTGGCTTGTTTTCATTGGACCAAATTGGTGACTTAATCTCATTAGACAAAATGAGTGGCAGGTTAGACTATATAAAAGGATATAGTCTTCAACTTCAGGGTATGCCTAAACCATTCTATTTACTTATTCAGTTTCATTTAGATATATGCTATCTAACTTGATCGTCGGAGTGCCTTCCGGGTGGCAACCGTAGGTGGAGAGGCACTAACTGTTTATTCTTTTGTAAATTCAAAACAGTGTGATTCAATTCTTCATTGATCTCTTGATTAATATATGTGGGACATTTCTGCCTCCACAAAAACTATTAATTCAATCTATGTATTTCAAATCTACATATATTCAAACAGATCCTTATTATTTGGAAAAAATATAAATCACAATCATGCAAAAAATTGCTTCTGCATGGTAAATAAATGCAGCCAAAAACATTTTAATGAAGTAAAATTGCAGGAAAAAAATTTCTGCAGAAACCACTTAAAGGATGCAGAAGGCTTTTTTCCAAAATATTTGATGAAGTAAAAATTGCAGGAAAAAAAATACTGCAGAAACAACTTAAGGATGCAAAAATTTTATTTATTTATTTATTTTTATTATGACATAGAAAATGTAGATAATACAATGGAACATATCTTACCAATGCAGTAAATGCAGAACAACATTGTAGCAAAACCATTTAGGATGCAGAAAGTGCAGAAAATACTATTAGAAACCATTTTTAAAGATGCAAAAATGTTGGTTGATATCATTTTATTAGTGATACCAAACTATTTGGCGTTGTTGTTACTTGAATCAACTGGACCAACCATTGGCATTAACCCAGTGGTTAACCAGTGTAACCAAAAAAAATAAAAAAAATAAAAAAACACACCAAGACTGAAAGCTAATGTATGAAAGGAAAATTTCACTAATAAGAAGTTAATTTCCAATAACATGTGATTATGTATTAGGGAAACAGGGTCATGGAGGAGTTCAACTACTAGTAATAACTTTTTCACAGGACAATCAAATTGATTTGAGGAGTGCTATTAGACAAAGTGAAAATAGACATACATAGCTTCAGTTACAGAATAGACAAAGTGAAAATAGACATACATAGCTTCAGTTACAGAATAGACAAAGTGAAAATAGACATACATAGCTTCAGTTAAGAAATTGAGAGAGAGAATCAGGGGAAGTGAGATACAAAGCAAAAAGGGAACAAACCTGTAGGGGTAGACTGAAGCACCGACGCTCTCGCACGGCAGCAGCAAAACGGCAACAACAAATCCTTCAAAATTCTATGGGACCTGGAATCTCTTTCTTCTCTCTATGGGACCTGAGATCAATAAATAGTCTTTGATCCTTCATATCAAAATAAACAGCAATAAATCAGTATATATATTTATATAATAAATCGATCGAGAGAGAGAGAGAGAGAGAGAGAGAGAGAACTACCTTCAGTTTTCTGTGAAATTGATTTGCTTCAAAAACCCTAAGAACTGAGAGAAGAATAAGGGAACCCAAATCAGCGGGGAATAAGGAACCCGTCCATGATCAAGGAGAACAAGGAACCAAACCGGGGAATGATCGCGCCAATATTTTAGGGATTTGGTTTTCATCTTTTCGGTAGGTTTATCTTTTCAATTATAACAACAATAAAATGCCATTTGAAAACTTAATTGATCTTTTAAAAGATTACTATAAATAAATAAAAAAATTAAACTAATTTGAACACTAAAAATCAAAATTATACTTTCAAAATTTAAAAAATTATTTATGACTTCCTAAAAAATAAAATTATACAAAAATAATAAGTATTTTTTTATTTTTTCACCAACTTTTTTTTTTAGTTTTTTAGGAAAAAAAATTCTAAAATAAGTTTCTGAAAATAAAACCAAACATATTGAAATTAATAATTTAACCAGATTCTTTAAAAAAGTTTAGATTATCTCAAATTAGCCATCTAAACTTAAGAGTGTTTTTGGTTTGATGGATTCTTTTTGTGATCTAATTCGATGGTCACTTTAATTTTACAATTCAATAATTAGAATATTTTTAAAAAATTGAAAAATTATAAATAAATACAAATAACTAAATCACCTCATTTCACTACCAAAACTTTTACCAACGAATAGTATTATCGTCGCTAAATGGTTAACTCTTTGCCCACACCAACTTGTCGTCGCCAAAAGTATGCACACTAATAGCAACGCTCATTGTGTTGCTAAAACATAAGCGTCGTAGCTAAAAGTTTTGAAATTTTGGCCCAACCAAAAATTTTGGCGCTAAAAGAATGTTATGCTTTTTTAGCAACGGTAGCAAATTGCGTTGGTAAAAGTATACTTTTACCAACGAAATTGATCACTGTGTCGCCAAAAATATACTTTTGGCGATGAAAAATTGACGTCGTCGCCAAAAGTAGTTGCCAAAAGTGCAATTTCTTGTAGTGGTATATTTGCTACAAACTCTTTTTTCTTTTATACCAACTGCTTCTACCTAGTATGAAGAAATTGGTTTTATTGGTCTTATCATTTTTTTTTAATGCTAACTAGCAAGTTGTAATTTTAAATAAATCATCTCTTCTTTTAATCATTGATTCTGTTGGATTCTTATTTGTAGTCATCGAACCATTGAGAAGAATAGCAGATTAGTATAGCAGATCAGCAAACTGATGCAACAGAGATCATCACCAGTTCAGAAAACCATTTCAACTCAGCAACCCAAACAAAATCATATAACCAAATCAGAATTGACGCAGCAATTAACCTTATTTACCAGAACAGTCAGAAAACAAATCAAACAAAACCAGCAACAAAACTATACAAAATGCTCAGAAATCAGTTTACCATGTTTGTCATCCATCAATTGTTCAAACAGCCCTCAAAACTATACAATTCTTAGTAACTTTTAAGCCATCAGGTTAACAGAAGTCAAGTAAAAATTCAAACTAATTCACTGGCTGTCATGTTTACACTAGGAGAGTAAGTTATATAAAAACACTCAATTCAAGTACACCACAATGTTTACCAAGCTAACCTTATACCAATGCACTGGAAACAGTAAAAGTAACTAAGCATTGGGATTGTCCATACACCACAATGTTCACTGATGGCTCTCTTCATTGCTTTAGAATGTGACCAGGTTTTCAAAGTAGTCAGTCAATCCAGTGTTACATATGAGTGACAAGCAGCAGCAGCAGATTCCACTTTTGACTGACCAATATATGCTTCAGTATGGATAATCTGCAGTATAGTAATACAAGTTAGCTGATGAAGAATTACAAATTTGATTCTCTCCCTGGAAGCACTTATAGCAATATCATCATCATCTCCATCAAAGAAGATTTACAAATATCAGAATACAATTGAGAGTCCTACCTGCCTGTGCAGATTGTTAAGCTGAACTACATCATGATCGACAATACCTAAGCGACCTAGAAAGGTTTAAAAACAACAAAATAGTTAGTTTCCGAAACAAAAAGTCCTAATGTAAGATTATATATTATGATTCCATTGAAGCACCCATCCATTTAGAGTGATGTTCAAACCACTTTTGATTATTACAAAGCAAGCTTTTTTTCTTTTTTTCTTTTGGTCTGGTACAGATGAAGACAAGCTATCAACAACAAATCTCTATCAAGATCAAGACAGAAAACGTCTGAATCGGTCATAACAATAGACAGTTGATTCCTAACAACAACCAAAAATGCAAAGACTTATTGGGATCGCACAAAATATGCATCAATCAAATACCAAAAGAAAAGTCATGTAAATATAATATAATTGTCATTTGTGAATTCTCAATACAGATTGGTGTCGTAAACAATAAGTGGGGGAGAAGAAATTTGACGGTGAAGGAAATGGACAAGGTATAAAGCTTGTTGAAAAACAAGAATGCTGCACCTTTTTGAGTTGAGAATCATGATCTGATCCCTGGTTTTTCTATTTGTCAGTGAGGAGATGGCCAAAGAAACATCAGACAACATCTTCTGAATTGTATCAGAAAGTACTGCTGCAACACTAAAGGAGCAACTGCCTGGACTTGATGTTGCAAGGACAGAGTTTCGTTATTTGTCAACTCCGTCAACCACTGATTCAGGTGTTGTTTTCTGCGCAAAGCCATTAGTTTTTTTTTTTTAACCAAATTTTAATTCCACTTTTTGTTTCCAATATTTACATGGTATCAAAGCCATATCACTACTAAGAAGCAGCCTATCAGTTCTTGTATTCCTGTCAAGTAAAAAAAATCTCCTATGGTTTCCTAGTGCTGTCTAATACACTTTTAGCAACACAATATGAGTAGGCAAAAATAAACTTTTGGCTACACATTTACCGACAAGTTATTTGTCGAGAAAGCTTTACTTTTTTAACAACGACAAATTTACAACGGCAAAAATAATTCAAACTCATTTATAATTTTTTAAAAGATTTACAGCTTTACAAGAGGCATCCCTCAGGCACCACTATAACAAACTAATAACATTGATATGAAATCACACAAAATACCCCCTCCATACCCTTCCATCCAAAACACCAGCAGTTGCCCGAAATTACACCTAATGACAACCCCCATTAATGAAAACCTGATCTATTACAGATTGGACAAAAAGTCCTGCACCCTTCCAAACATCAACAACACCGCAGCACCTCATCGTAACAATCACCATCACAGCAGCATCACCACAGCATCTCAGCAACAACAGCAACATCACAGCAGCACCAGAAGAATAGCAAATTAGTATAGCAGATCAGCAAACTGATGCAACAGAGATCATCACCAGTTCAGAAAACCATTTCAACTCAACAACCCAAACAAAATCATATAACCAAATCAGAATTGACGCAGCAATTAACCTTATTTACCAGAACAGTCAGAAAACAAATCAAACAAAACCAGCAACAAAACTATACAAAATGCTCAGAAATCAGTTTACCATGTTTGTCATCCATCAATTGTTCAAACAGCCCTCAAAACTATACAATTCTTAGTAACTTTTAAGCCATCAGGTTAACAGAAGTCAAGTAAAAATTCAAACTAATTCACTGGCTGTCATGTTTACACTAGGAGAGTAAGTTATATAAAAACACTCAATTCAAGTACACCACAATGTTTACCAAGCTAACCTTATACCAATGCACTGGAAACAGTAAAAGTAACTAAGCATTGGGATTGTCCATACACCACAATGTTCACTGATGGCTCTCTTCATTGCTTTAGAATGTGACCAGGTTTTCAAAGTAGTCAGTCAATCCAGTGTTACATATGAGTGACAAGCAGCAGCAGCAGATTCCACTTTTGACTGACCAATATATGCTTCAGTATGGATAATCTGCAGTATAGTAATACAAGTTAGCTGATGAAGAATTACAAATTTGATTCTCTCCCTGGAAGCACTTATAGCAATATCATCATCATCTCCATCAAAGAAGATTTACAAATATCAGAATACAATTGAGAGTCCTACCTGCCTGTGCAGATTGTTAAGCTGAACTACATCATGATCGACAATACCTAAGCGACCTAGAAAGGTTTAAAAACAACAAAATAGTTAGTTTCCGAAACAAAAAGTCCTAATGTAAGATTATATATTATGATTCCATTGAAGCACCCATCCATTTAGAGTGATGTTCAAACCACTTTTGATTATTACAAAGCAAGCTTTTTTTCTTTTTTTCTTTTGGTCTGGTACAGATGAAGACAAGCTATCAACAACAAATCTCTATCAAGATCAAGACAGAAAACGTCTGAATCGGTCATAACAATAGACAGTTGATTCCTAACAACAACCAAAAATGCAAAGACTTATTGGGATCGCACAAAATATGCATCAATCAAATACCAAAAGAAAAGTCATGTAAATATAATATAATTGTCATTTGTGAATTCTCAATACAGATTGGTGTCGTAAACAATAAGTGGGGGAGAAGAAATTTGACGGTGAAGGAAATGGACAAGGTATAAAGCTTGTTGAAAAACAAGAATGCTGCACCTTTTTGAGTTGAGAATCATGATCTGATCCCTGGTTTTTCTATTTGTCAGTGAGGAGATGGCCAAAGAAACATCAGACAACATCTTCTGAATTGTATCAGAAAGTACTGCTGCAACACTAAAGGAGCAACTGCCTGGACTTGATGTTGCAAGGACAGAGTTTCATTATTTGTCAACTCCATCAACCACTGATTCAGGTGTTGTTTTCTGCGCAAAGCCATTAGTTTTTTTTTTTTAACCAAATTTTAATTCCACTTTTTGATTCCAATATTTACATGGTATCAAAGCCATATCACTACTAAGAAGCAGTCTATCAGTTCTTGTATTCCTGTCAAGTAAAAAAAATCTCCTATGGTTTCCTAGTGCTGTCTTGTGAATTTTCTAGTCTCCAATGGTTCAATAGCTACATGTTGAATATTGTTATAATTTAGCAATAAAAAGAGACAAAATGCTATATATTAGCAATGTTGCTCCAATGATGACTTTGCTTCCTCCATTTATTCTCCCATTTCAACTATCATTTCAAAATAACAAGTACATGCTACTTAATCAAACTTTATTAACTTAATTTAGAGTTACATACTGCAAAATAAAATAACATAAGACATAATCATGGAAGAGGAAGAACATAATAATCTGAGTTGCTTGATCATGCCAAAATTTCTGTGCCTGATCGTTCATTTAAAGGTATCTCAAGTCAGCTCTTGTGAAAGCCCAGAGAACTCGAGGCCAATCCACAGCAATAGACAACAATATCACCAACCTCAAGGCCACACTCCAAAACAGCATGTCAATTTAGTTTCAGTTAGGTAAAACAACATGTAAATCCAAATCTGTTAGAAGAAAAATTCCAAACAGCATGTCAATTTAATGTCAAGGGATGATCCATTGATGAGGCTTACCTCCTTCTGCAGCTTAATTGACAAAATCTCTGATTTTGCCCCAAGCTCAGAGAATACCTTTCCAAGAGCATCTCCTTCACAAGTGCCAAGAAGTTTGACTGCCTTCCCAAAATCTGACAGGGATTGCCCCAATTCTGTGGAAACACAATAAAAAATTATGAATGAATTTTATTTGATTTTATTCAAATATTAGAACAAACAAAGAAGAAAGCAGAATAAATGAAGATAATCCACAAAATATGATTTAAAGTAAGTTTGAAAAACTGGCACACCACAGAACCAAAAAAAATAAAGTCCTTAAATACCTCTGTGTCTCTTTACTAGGCGATATGCATGCTTCTAAGCTTCAGCTAAGTGATCTTCAAGCTCAAAGATATAATGTTTCAGTTTCTCATATTCAGGATTCGATTCTTCAACTGGTTTTTCCTTTCCAAGTACAACAGCACTTACTTTAGATTGTACATCCTGTCAAAAATCATAGAGAAGTCATATGGCAGATCATTCATCTTTTCAAATGGACATCATTCCCATTTCAGTGCCCCTTGCAATCCCAATTGGGAGCCAATGCAGTCACTTCACAGAGAAAAGATGACTGACTCAGATAACTGATGAGCTCTCTAATAGAAGAATTGTGCCCTTCGATTTACAAGATTGGTGCAAGGACTGGGGGACACTTTTTTTAAAGTGAACAAAATTCTTAATCAGTTCAATTTGACATATTAATAATAGGACTCTTGAACTATTGAGTGAGAAAGGTAATTTCAAGATCCACAGCATAGTTAGACTCTTCATCCCATGTACTATATCGTTATTCCACATATCACTGCTCATTATCATGTACATAGCATATCAAACACATAACTAAGCATCTTCTGGGGGAAAATAAAAAACATCATGACCACTAACAGAGTTGGTCTGTTTATGGAAACCTTATTGATTGCAGGTTCATCGCTTCCCAGTCCCAACAAATTGTACAGCAGGGCAGAAAGAGAATGTCCAAAATTCTCCAATGTTTTGTGAAATCATTTTAACATTAGATTATGGAATATTATTATTGGCCCACTAATCATTCGAACATTAGATCATCGAATAGTAGTTATTCACACACTCTATCATCATTCAATAACAAGGATGTGTTTACTTTTTAACCTCAAGTTACCTTGAAGATTTGCATCAAATCAGCTGGCTTCTTCTTAAAAATACCAGTCTCTTGAGATCTGTCCCTTTCCATTGTCTGCAAAATAAGGCAAGAAAATGACATCAGATTGATGACAGTGAAGAAAATGACATACTGACACTGCTTCCATATCAAGAAGACTAAGAAACTGCAGCTTAGGGAGTGATGCAAGAGGATCAATCTCAACCAAATTCGTTAGTTGATTGTTAGTGAGAACCAAAGTATGCAACTTGGGCAAGAACTCTGCAAATCCACAAAACAGAACATATTTGAATGATTGTAATTGCATAAGCATGTCACCTGCTTTGAGTGTATGAGAATTTTGTCAAACTCCCTCTTCTCAGCAAACGCAGTAACAACTTTTGGAGTCACTCTTGCTTTAATGTAAATTTTCAGTGCAAGGTCATTATCCATTGTCTGCAATAGAAACAGGATTCATTACATCAGAAATTCCAATAGAACAGATCTGATAAATAATATAGAACAAGCAACTTTGGGAAATTATTTTCAATTCAGGTAAATTTTTGTAAGTATAGTTTAAACAATGAGTAAATTTGAAACAGAAAGATTAAAAATAAAGGATTACAGAAAAGTTTTGTATAAGAACTATAGCACAATAAACATCATGGGTGTCCTCGAATCCTCCAAATCAAACCTTCACAAGATCTCCAAGCTCCTCGCTACATTCAAGTTTGTCCTCTGCCAACCAATTCTCCAAAAGATTCTTTTTGTTCTGATTTACAAAAAGACGAGATAGTTCCAATGACTCAAAAGCATTGAGCTTTCCCCTAGTTAAAAGAGTTCCAAAGTACTGCAGCAAAGGAGGTGTTTGCCCAGCTTGCACTGGAACACTCTGCAAAGCATAAAGAGTAAATGAGGGCCTTGACATTTACACCTTCTGAAGACAAATGGTTAGGGCTGATATCATGTTAATAAAACCTGAAATTTAGCAACAGTGTCAGAAGTGCGCAGAATTCCCTGCGGTGACTCTGCAGCAAGTTCCGCAGCCTCCTTATACTTCCTCCTCCCAACCAACCCATCAATTCCCAGAACACCACTATCAGAGCATCTTTGACATGCTGTCGTAGGAGGTGGAGTTGGAAATAGGCACCGATAACATGGACCTCCATTGTAATTGTAAACTGTAAGCTACACAAATGATTTAAGGATGCAGTTGCAGTAAGAATTTGAACAATATAAAACAAGAAATTCCACAAAGCTAACTTTGAAAAGGACAAGCAGCATATTTTGACTTTTTTGTGTGCTTTTACCTGAAGGTCTCATTACAACTTCTAAATCACATATTAACACCTGCAGTTTCAGGTCCTTAGAAATAAAACCAACCCCAAGTTTAACCAATGACTGCCGTAAGCTGACTCTGATTTCACCAACAGATACAGATTCAACAGCACCATGTGAATTGTCAAAGTCATAATAACGTGAACAAACATAATCCTATAGATGCACTCTGTCATCAGATAAAATATTCCATTGACTCTTTTCTTATACAAGTATGATGTTTAATAAAACTCAAGCAAAAGCCAAATAGTTATATCTCCAACTAATTATATCCTTTTAAAACCAAAATTGCTTTCAGCCTTGGTAAAGGGAACCTTTATAAATAAAAAATCAAAAACCAAGAATAATATGAAAGGAAAAAACAAAAAAAAGGTTGACATAGATGGAAAGCTTGTACAATAAAAATTATAAAATAAAAACTCACTGCTACCAACAAGAACAGAGGTATCAAAATATTCTCAGTCATCGTTCATACCATTTTAAAAGCCATCCAAAGAGAATCATTGCCAAGACATAAACTCAACTCAACAAGCCTTTGTCCCAATTACTTGGGGCCGGCTGCATGGATCCATTTCCTCCAGTTGATTCCCAAATTAATTAGAGAGACATGATAGCCAAAAAATGAATAAAGAATACAGCTTCAAAAGTGTTATGATGAGAAAGAATTCACAGAGAACAGTTAGACAGTCATTTTTTATTGGATGTATGATTTTCCAATATAAGCACAATGAAAATCATGGCCTATAATTCTTCCTAAAATATTAGAGAGACATGATAGCCAAAAAATGAATAAAGAATACAGCTTCAAAAGTGTTATGATGAGAAAGAATTCACAGAGAACAGTTAGACAGTCATTTTTTATTGGATGTATGATTTTCCAATATAAGCACAATGAAAATCATGGCCTATAATTCTTCCTAAAATATTAGAGAGACATGATAGCCAAAAAATGAATAAAGAATACAGCTTCAAAAGTGTTATGATGAGAAAGAATTCACAGAGAACAGTTAGACAGTCATTTTTTATTGGATGTATGATTTTCCAATATAAGCACAATGAAAATCATGGCCTATAATTCTTCCTAAAATATTAGAGAGACATGATAGCCAAAAAATGAATAAAGAATACAGCTTCAAAAGTGTTATGATGAGAAAGAATTCACAGAGAACAGTTAGACAGTCATTTTTTATTGGATGTATGATTTTCCAATATAAGCACAATGAAAATCATGGCCTATAATTCTTCCTAAAATATTAGAGAGACATGATAGCCAAAAAATGAATAAAGAATACAGCTTCAAAAGTGTTATGATGAGAAAGAATTCACAGAGAACAGTTAGACAGTCATTTTTTATTGGATGTATGATTTTCCAATATAAGCACAATGAAAATCATGGCCTATAATTCTTCCTAAAATATTAGAGAGACATGATAGCCAAAAAATGAATAAAGAATACAGCTTCAAAAGTGTTATGATGAGAAAGAATTCACAGAGAACAGTTAGACAGTCATTTTTTATTGGATGTATGATTTTCCAATATAAGCACAATGAAAATCATGGCCTATAATTCTTCCTAAAATATTAGAGAGACATGATAGCCAAAAAATGAATAAAGAATACAGCTTCAAAAGTGTTATGATGAGAAAGAATTCACAGAGAACAGTTAGACAGTCATTTTTTATTGGATGTATGATTTTCCAATATAAGCACAATGAAAATCATGGCCTATAATTCTTCCTAAAATATTAGAGAGACATGATAGCCAAAAAATGAATAAAGAATACAGCTTCAAAAGTGTTATGATGAGAAAGAATTCACAGAGAACAGTTAGACAGTCATTTTTTATTGGATGTATGATTTTCCAATATAAGCACAATGAAAATCATGGCCTATAATTCTTCCTAAAATATTAGAGAGACATGATAGCCAAAAAATGAATAAAGAATACAGCTTCAAAAGTGTTATGATGAGAAAGAATTCACAGAGAACAGTTAGACAGTCATTTTTTATTGGATGTATGATTTTCCAATATAAGCACAATGAAAATCATGGCCTATAATTCTTCCTAAAATATTAGAGAGACATGATAGCCAAAAAATGAATAAAGAATACAGCTTCAAAAGTGTTATGATGAGAAAGAATTCACAGAGAACAGTTAGACAGTCATTTTTTATTGGATGTATGATTTTCCAATATAAGCACAATGAAAATCATGGCCTATAATTCTTCCTAAAATATTAGAGAGACATGATAGCCAAAAAATGAATAAAGAATACAGCTTCAAAAGTGTTATGATGAGAAAGAATTCACAGAGAACAGTTAGACAGTCATTTTTTATTGGATGTATGATTTTCCAATATAAGCACAATGAAAATCATGGCCTATAATTCTTCCTAAAATATTAGAGAGACATGATAGCCAAAAAATGAATAAAGAATACAGCTTCAAAAGTGTTATGATGAGAAAGAATTCACAGAGAACAGTTAGACAGTCATTTTTTATTGGATGTATGATTTTCCAATATAAGCACAATGAAAATCATGGCCTATAATTCTTCCTAAAATATTAGAGAGACATGATAGCCAAAAAATGAATAAAGAATACAGCTTCAAAAGTGTTATGATGAGAAAGAATTCACAGAGAACAGTTAGACAGTCATTTTTTATTGGATGTATGATTTTCCAATATAAGCACAATGAAAATCATGGCCTATAATTCTTCCTAAAATATTAGAGAGACATGATAGCCAAAAAATGAATAAAGAATACAGCTTCAAAAGTGTTATGATGAGAAAGAATTCTGTATCAATAATCATGTAAAAACACTTCAATATAATAAGCACACATAAAAATGGTGCTAATGGAGTCCATCCCCTATCTCCTCCCAAACGAAAATCCGGTTTAGAGGTCCATCCCCTATCTTCCCCTAAACCGTGGAGTACATCCCCTATCTCCTCCCACACAATATGCAAATGCAATGCTCAACCAATACACGTATTTTCAGTATTAATTCAATAGTCAAATTAATGACTTAACCAATGTGATTAGTTTCAGTTATTCCTAATCCACATGCAATGTCTACAACAATCACGACTATCCTCCACCGATAGCCCAAAACAGTTATTTCTAAACCGAAAATAACTATGTCAACAATTCAATAGGCAAATGATTCAAATTATCCAATTACGCCATTTAATCAATGAATTTCCCCAATTCCATGAATTTAACCATCTTTTCCCAATTCCATGAATTAATTATACAAATTAATTTAGTAATACAACTAGGGTTTTTCCCAAAATCAACCAAAGTATCCCCAGCATATCAAAATACCAAAACTTAGAACAAAACCTATAAAATGGAGTAGGAAATCCCTACCTCAGAGAAAACAACCCAAATGGTGAAGCAAGAGATGAGTGCCCAAATATCAAAATGCTCCAAATCGCCAAAAGTCCAGATTAAATGAAAGCCCTCGACTTCCTCTATCTTTTAAATAAAGCAACTAGGGTTGAAACACACTCTAAACAGATCAAACCTAAGAGAGAAGGTGAGTAGGGAGAGAGAAAAGTCGAACCTAGAGTTTGAAATCAAAAGAATCTGAAAAAGACTGATCAAATCCCGCTGCTGTGTATATAAACTGGACAGGCTCGCTCGAGCGAAGACTTGGTCGCTCGAAGCACCCTAATTATGAAGTTTTGTTCCACAAGGCTTGTCAATGTGAGGGGTGTGCGTGAGCACATCATGCAGATGAGGGACACTGCAGCCCAACTTAAGAAACTGGAGGTTGATGTCACGCCCTCAAAATAGCCCATCATATATATATATATATATATCATTGACATGCATTCTTTGAAGAAAACAATTTATTAACACATTCATCAGAGTATTACTAAATAAACGCAATACATGTAACGAACTAACTCGCTCGAGCGAAGAAAAGCTCGCTCGAGCCAAGAATGCAAAGCTACAGGTTCAAACCAGACGCCAACTCTCGCTCGAGCGACCAAACCCCGGCTCAAGCGAAGAACCAAAACAACACCTCGCTCGAGCGACCAACTCCTAGCTCGAGCGAAGGTCCAAAAATCTGAACAGCAACACTTGGTTTCCAACCCAACCATTCCTGAAACAAACCTGCCCAACACATCCTATAACTCCATATGAGCAAATAAGGGACAACAACAACAATAATACAATGACAGAATCTACGGGACCTAAGTCCAGATACAATAGTCAAATGGGAGAAGACCGGGGTCGCTATAGTAGAAATATACTAAACCACATATAAGCAATGAATAAAGCAATAGCATTCAACAGATGGTTAACCAAGATAATCAATTACTCCATTTTACAGTCTCATGACACTATTGTCTGAGACACGTTTTACTTTCCAACTTTATCAACATGGCTTAGAACCTGGCCAAACTTACAATAGTGAATTATATACATATCATAATCACATCCTTCCAATATCAACAAACAAATGAGACTCAAGCTCAAATCAAAACACTTCATACTTCCAGATTGATACACATTTTCGTGCTGTATCAATAAAAACACTTCTATATAAATAAGCACACATAAAAGTGATGCTAATGGAGTCCATCCCCTATCTCCTCCCAAACAAAAATCCGGTTTAGAGGTCCATCCCCTATCTTCCCCTAAACCGTGGAGTACATCCCCTATCTCCTCCCACACAATATGCAAATGCAATGCTCAACCAATACACGTATTTTCAGTATTAATTCAATAGTCAAATTAATGACTTAACCAATGTGATTAGTTTCAGTTATTCCTAATCCACATGCAATGTCTACAACAATCACGACTATCCTCCACCGATAGCCCAAAACAGTTATTTCTAGACTGGAAATAAATATATCAACAATTCAATGGGCGAGTGACTTACATTATCCAACTACCCCATTTAAGCAATAAATTTCCCAATTTCATGAATTTAACCAAATTCCCCAATTCCCTTAAATTAATTACTCAAATTAATTAATTTAAACAACTAGGGTTTTCCCAAAATTATCAAAGTAACCCCAACTTATGAAAACACCAAAACTTAGAACAAAACTTATAAAATGGAGTAGGAAATCCCTACCTCGAAGAAAATAACCCGAATGGAGAAGACAGAAATGAATACCCAAATTCCAATGTGCTCCAAATCACTAACTGCTCAGATTAAATGGAAGCCTTCGACTCACTCTATCTTTTTAATAAAGGATCTAAGGTAGAAACTCACTCTAAGTAGATCAATCCTAAGAGAGAAGGTGAGTAGGGAGAGAGAGAAGTCGGACCTTAGGGTTTGGAATCTAAAAAGATGATAAAAACTGATTAAAAACCCGCTGCTGCGTATATAAACTGGACAGGCTCGCTCGAGCGAAGACTTGGTCGCTCGAGCGACCAGACACAGAAAAGCTACGCTCGAGCCAAGGAAGCCTTGCTCGAGTCAACAACCCAAAAGCTAGCTCGAGCGAAAGAAATCTCGCTCGAGTGAAGAACTCAAACCCTCAGGTCTGCAACCAGACACACGTTCGAGCGAAGGAACTCCCGCTCGAGCGAAGAACGAACTAACTCGCTCGAGCGAAGAAAAGCTCGCTCGAGCCAAAAACCTCTGCTCTCAGATCTTACTACAAAATGCTATCCTCGCTCGATCGAAGAAACCCTGGCTCGAGCGACGGACCAAAACAAAGGGTTCGCTCGAGCGAATAACCGCCCGCTCGAGCGAAGGGTCAAAATTTTGGGCAGCAACCCTTTGCTCCCAAGCCCAACCAACCTACTACAAACCTGCCCATTGCATCCCCCAACTCAGAAATAGGAAAATAAAGGACGGTAACAATCATAATACAATGGCAGGAGCTACGGAACCTAAGTCCGGATACAATAAACAAATGGGAAAAGACCGGGGTCGCTATAAATAAGCTATTTTCATTTAATGATTAAAAATACTCAAATCTTTTCATTTAAATTCAAAAATTCAAATACAAGCTTAGAATAGCTCTATTTAATTTTCAAAATGATAATATAATGTGTTAGTTATATCAATTAGATTACTATAGTTCTAGTCCTTTTATTTTTTTATATTGTTCGATTTAGTTCAATTGATTACGATTACAAGAAATTTCACTTTTGGTGACTAAAATTTTAGTCGCCAAAAGTCTTATTTTAGTCAGCAATTATTTTTGGCGACTAATATATTTGGTTTCCAATTGTTCGTCGGGAAAGACAATTGGCGATTAAAATTTTTTTGGTAGCCAAAAGTGACCTATCGGCGACTAAAACTTTATTCGCCATATATTTTTTTTAAAAATAATTAAATATATATATATTTTAATTTTAGCGACTAAATTATTTAGTAGCCAATTCAGCATGTATGTTTGGCGAGTAATTATTTGGTAGTCAAAAGTTTCACTTTTTGAGAATTGGCGACTAAAAATTTAGTATCTAAAAGTTTACCTTTTACAATTGGCAACTAAAAGCTTAGTAGGCAAAAGTATCACTTTTTGAGAATTGGCGACTAAAAATTTAGTATCCAAAAGTTTACCTTTTACTTGGCAACTAAAAGTTTAGTAGCCAAAAGTTTCACTTTTTGACAATTGACGACTAAAATTTTAGTAGCCAAAAGCCAACCTGTGATATTTGTTTAGTCGCCAAAAGGTCTCATTTAGTTTTTATAATTTGTTCTGTAATATTTTTTGTAGCACTTATAACCTGTGCATATACAAAATTATTCATCCATTCATTCATTCAATTCTCAACCATTCAATAAAAATATTTCTCTACAACCTATAGCATTCAATTTTCAACCATATATAAAACTTAACTATTCACCGTACATATCAAAGAAAATAAGAATCCATAAATATAGTATAATCCAACAAATACATATACTATCCAAACCAACAATTAAAATCCAAATTTAAAAAAAAAAAATCTTAATAACAAAACATATCAGGTGTACATATTTTCTATAAATAAAAATATAATGTAAATTGCGCCCATGCAAACATCATCAATTTGGCCCAAAAACATCACTGCATCCATGCCAACATCCTCAATCTGTAACAAAAACCAGTGAGGTAACTAATCAAATATGTAGAGCTCGATTTTTGTTTAAACAAAATATGGTTCAATTTATTTAACAAGTAATTTAGCTTATGAAGAAGGAAAAATTAGATATTTAACTCAGTTGAATTTAGATGAATAACACAGTAAATATATCAATTGATATAGCAAGACTAAATAAAGAAAAATCGGTGAAAGGTTCCTTTTAGCTTAACAGATTGTTATTTCAAAGATTTCAACTAAAATAGGCAAATAACGATTTATGAGGATATAATGCACAATATTAGTTATACAGCAACAAATATACCAACTAATGAACTTATAACTTAGGTGAATAACATAATGTGTTCTAGTTGATTTACAAATGAGTTCAAGTAACCACAGTCAATAAAATCAAATATATCAGTTAATGATGAAACACAGGATGAGCTATCAGTGATGAGTTAACGGAAAATACAGTTTGTGAGTTATAGAAAGGAATAAGCACTGGTTTCAACTTAATCAAGTCAGAGAAGGTAATAGAAAATTTAGCTCAAGATATCAAATACTTAATACAGTGACTAACACAATGAGTTTATCAATTAGCTATGACAGTTAATTTAAGATGAATAGCACAATATTTATTATAACTGATATAGCAAGACTAAATGAGGGAAAATTAGTGAAGTAGCGAATTGAAAACACTATGAATGATTTTTGATTTAACAAACTAAGATTTGAATATGCAAGCAGTGGCTTCAAAAGATTAACATTTGGAGCTATTGTGCGCTTGATTCAGTACATGTTTGAGCACCAATTACACTGCCAATAAGTTAGGCATGTGGCTTAGAATTTTGAGAAGCCTAAGAGACATTTTATCAAATAGTTTGAAGGCAAGAAACAAAAAAGAGTGTATTCAACGGAAAGGATTCCATACCCTGTATTCAGCTTTTGTCCCATCTTCATTCTAAAAGGAAAAGAAAATGACTAAGCACATCAACAAACAAGTAATGAACAAGCATGATTACTCAATAGTCAGTTAGAAAAGTGTCACCTTGGTCAATCAAGAAACAAACACAGCAAGTAACTAAAAGAATTATAACTCAAGGCGAATGAAAGTTCAATGTAAATCAATAGCTATGAAATTACAAAACCCTAACTTTCAGTACAAAAGTATATCAGACCCCCATAGTGTACAAAAGTCTGACCTCAAATCTTCATCTTAAGATGGTAGTTATGGCTTAAATGTGAATTATAGGCACGAGAATATAAAGTACCACCTCAAACAACAACTATATTGCACACTGTGACACAAACCAGTGACCCAGTTGATCATTTGTGTTTAATAACTAGTGTTTCACACACAGCAGTTTCAAAAAGCTAAAAAAACTATACCATTATATTTCCAACTTCACAAAAACAATATAAAAATAATCTTTCACCAAATGATTTCAACATTTACCTGAATAGAGATCCTCTTCTCGCTGTAGACGGCTTCACTAGGGACCATATTCTTGGTGCAAAGCGCATCTTCTTTACCCTTAGCAGTGAACACTCCTTCATGTCTATGCGGCTCAACCACGACCTTACTTCCCCCCATTCATTCCTCCTCTTCCACCGCCTTGGCCACTGCTGCCCCTTCCTCCGCCGTCGCGGCCACCGCGACCTCTCATTCCATTGCCTCTATTGTCTCCTCTTCCTTTGCTGCCAAAATCTTCCCTTTCTTGCGATGGTGGCGGGCAACTCTCTATGGAATGAGAGAAAGAGAGATGAGAGAGGATGAGAGAGAAGAGTGAGAGCATGAGATATTTTATATAGATGGTTATTGGCGACTAAAATTTTTTAGTTGCTGAAGTATTTTATAAATCCCTCCAAAAATTTTAGTTATGTGGCGACTAAAATTCTTTTTTTGTCGCTGAAAATAAACTTTTGGCGACCAAAATTTTGGTAGCCAAAGCCAAAAAATAATTTTTTATTTTTCATTTGGTGACTAAATGGTTTTAGTAGCCAAAACTCAATATACGACGACTAAAATTCTTTTTTGTCGTGAAAAATTAACTTCTGGCGACCAAAGCAAAGGTAAAAAAAAGAATTTTTTATTTTCCATTCGGCGACTAAACGATTTTAGTAGCCAAAGCTCAATATATGGCGACTAATTTTTTTTTTGGTTACCAATTCTGGCATTTTACCGATTAATTTTTTTTTAGTCGCCAATAACCAATATACCCCGACTAAAAAAAATTAGTACCTAAATATTTTACTTTTGCCAACTAAATTTTTTTTAGTCACTAATTTTTGGCATCGAAGGTGTAACGCCCTCAAAATAATAACATTAAGACTAAATGATTTTAGTAGCCAAAGCTCAATATATGGCGACTAATTTTTTTTTTGGTTACCAATTCTGGCATTTTAGCGACTAATTTTTTTTTAGTCGCCAATAACCAATATACCCCGACTAAAAAAAATTAGTACCTAAATATTTTACTTTTGCCAACTACAAAAGTTTTTGGTCACCAATTCCACAACTTTTGGCGACTAAATTTTTTTTAGTCACTAATTTTGGTCATCGAAGGTGCATTTTGTTGTAGTGTTCATTGTCTTTCTAGATGTTCAAATGTCTTTGGTAATTTATTTGCTACTTCTAGATTTTGCTTTTCTTATAATCATTTCTGAGCATTGGTAACTGGTTTTATATAGTGTTTCTTGAATTGGGTTTAAGAGTGGTTGTTGTATTTGAATGTTTTAGTATTGTATTATATATCTAGTTCTCTCTCTGTTTTTTAGTTTGTTATTGATTAGTGTATGGACTTTGAAAGGTTTTGTGGGTTGCTATTACCATTTACTATCATGATGGTAATAATTCGATTTATTGTTGCGAAATCATCGTATCTATATGGATTTCAGATTTTGATTGACTGTAACAAATTTGAGTAAATTCTATAACAAATCCATAGCTCATGTAACTCATCATAGCACCGAGTGAAATGGACAATTACTCTTTGGGCCAAATCCAACCTCCCAAGCTTCTCTTACTCAATGCATGACATTGTCCGCAATCTTAGTCAGATCATGTTTTTTCTTTAGTGTATTTGTGTTGCTGTCACTGCTACATTGTATCTGTACTGCTGATGCTGTTGTTTTTTTCCTGTCTCAGCCACTTGGCTGTTATCCCTTTGTTGTTGGTCCCTCACCAATAGATGGGCAAAGTGTAGTTTACCCTAAGAATATTCACAGTTAAGGGAGACAGACTACAGAAGTTTCAAGTTTTAAACAAATTTTTTTAAATAACTTCTAGACTCTTAAAGAATTAGTATTTCAGAGAAAACAAGGAATGAAATCTTGATACCTCTGTTGTCAAGGTGTTTTTACATGCATCTAATTAGGCAGTAATACATGAATCATAACTTCAAAAAGAAACTAAGATCCAGTTGTAGCAAATTATAGTTTGTGTCAATTTTCTTCACTTTGTCTTAGCATAAAGACAAATTACTTGCAATTATTGACTCTTCAATGGGAGTATGTCTGGCTATATGTATTTGCTTATAACTGGACTAACGATAAGAAACAAACCAAGAAAAAACAAATACCAAAGAAAAGTAATCGAGTTCTTCACTGTTTTCCTTTATTAGCTTTAAAAATGGGAGAGAACAAGGAACTACTAGGTAATATGTGTGCTCCAAATAATGTACCTGAGTTCTCCAATTATGTAGATTGTGCCCTCCAAAGCCTTTCAAAGGCATTACAACAGTCACTCTTGGCAGGTTGACCTGATTAGAGTGCTTAAGGGCATTAATATCATGAGAAATAAATGCAAAGCTATTGCCACCTCTCAAACTACTTTTCATCCTTCTAATCTCTCCACTCCTATCAGAAGACACAAAATGTTACAAAATCTAAAATTTCACATAGTAATTTGTCATCAAGATTCAAGGAAACTGATCTGGGAACTTAAAGCCACATTGTCACCCAACTTTAGAAATTAAAGCTTGATACCTAACACAAACAGCACAAGCCCACCCAAGAGCAGGTGTTAAGAAGATAAAATATCCCTATAGTACAAACAAAAGACACAGATTGGAACATGATCATGCTGCAACATCATGTTAGAGTGCATAAAAGCATGGGCAAAGAACATAAATTTGAAGAATAAGATACTATCACCTTACAAAGTAAGAAGAGTCAGTTATATTGTACATTTATTTGGTCCATAAACATTATCATTTTCAAAATAATAAAAAATAAATCCATACCTGACCATGAAGTAAATAAAAAGAAAAAACCAACAACATGCCCATGTAATCCAATGTGTCCTGTAATATTCTTCTAAATTGAGATCTATTAAAATTCATGATGAATCTAGTGGCTATGAAATGGTTGATATCTGTGCAACTAATCCTATAATAGCAATACTATCTTTAGCTATATTCATTGCACCAACACATGACGACCAGGGCACCTATAGGCAGCAGCTTGTTCAAAATTTTTTTTATCATTGAAGTCTCCTTGTCAGGTAGTTCATACCTATGTCAGCCAGAATACCTTTGTCATCATCATTGTGATACTTATTGAGATATACCAAAGTAAATCAAACTTTTAAAGAAAGTTCAAGGACTAAGACCTTACAGATTTTGTTTTACAAGTAACGACAACTAACCTCATCTAGTGAGGTAAAAGGAATAAAATCAAACAATTGCTAAACCTACAAAAGCAACCTCTTGTCTTACCTAGTATTTTCCTTATATACGAGAGCAGATTCTATATAAGTCCATCCTTAAGAACCCAACTTGGTTGTGAATTACAAAGTACAAGATGGAAGAATGACCCCACACCTTTTCCCAATTAGTCATGAATGAGAATTGCATTATCAACTAAGAGCCAGCAAGCAGAATTCTAAAACAAAGCCCTTTACCATTTTAAGATGATCAAAGCTAATCATTTGATCTCTAGGAACTACATCAAACTTTCATATTCTAAAGTGTTTGGAAATAATTTTTTGTAACTTGAAATCTTTTATGCTACTACTTTCCTAGGCTGTTTTTTGTTCACTGTTTTTCTATTCACTCCATGCTGTATTTTTACCTTTTGCTGCTTTAGATGCGCCTCTGTTTTGCTGTTTGGAACCTCTCCAAAGAGGCTGAACAAGGGTGCTATCTTTGTTTGTGTTGATGTCTATGTTATAGTGCATACATTAAATTTTTGTATACATTTCTGTACTTTTTGTGTTGATTTGCTTGTGTGAAAATTAGTTAGTTGGTTCTTGGTTTAGTCACTTGTATATAATTTATTGTTTTTCCCATGCATATAACCATAGCAAATAAATGATACGTTTATCTAACATAACCCCTACTTTATAGGTGATCAAATATGGACCAGAGTTGGATGTCCATTAGAAATAGATTGAGTTCGGAGTATAGAGAGGGGTTAAGTCATTTCTCCAATTTCCAATGACAAATGTTTGCCTAGATAATAGAATTCATTTTCCGTGTATGGATTGCCTAAATTTTGAACGTCATACCATTAAGGATGTGGAATATCATTTGATCCGAAAAGGGATGTCGTTTTCATACAAAACTTGGGTGCACCATGGGGAAACTGTTCTAGTCATTCAACCTTGTGTATGGAATAATGAAAACGAGTTGAAGGTGTTAGTGATGCAGGGACAACCAATGAAAGCCTTGACCTTGAAGATGAATTGCGTGATATGTTAGAAGACCAATGCATGCTGAATATTTTTGATGATGATGATGAAAAGGATGAGTGGAATGATAATGAGCAAAAAGAGGATGCATGAAACTTTGATAAATAGTTAGAGGATGCTCAACGTCTGTTATACCTTGGTTGTCAAAAGTTTACTTTGTTATTATTTATCATTACGATGCTTCATACGAAAGTGTTAAACAGGTGGAGCAATTTTCGAAATATTGTTGGGTGTATTGAAAGACCTTTCACTAGAAAGTGACCAAAAGGTTCCGTGGACTCTTTATGAAGCCAAGAAATTTTTGCGTGACTTGGGTTTAGGATATGTGCCTATTCATGCATGTAAGTATGATTGTGCTCTTTTTGGAAGGAAAATGCAAATTTAGAAAATTGTCGAATTTGTAAGGAGCCTAGATACAAACTGAATGATGGCAAAGGTAAGAAGATCCCTCATAAGATTTTGAGATAATTTCCATTGACACCGAGTTTGCAAAGATTATACATGTCCAGAAAAACTGCTGCAGATATGAGATGGCACAAAGCAAAACGTGTTGATGATGACATATTAAGGCATCCAGCCAATGGTGAGGCATGGAAGGACTTTGATGGGTAACATGTTGTGTTTGCCAAAGAATCACGTAATGTGAGGCTAGGGTTGGCCACCGATGGTTTCAACCCTTTTGGAAATATGAGCAACTCATATAATATGTGGCTTGTAGTAGTTATGCCTTATAACCTGCCACCGTGGAAGTGTATGAAACAACCATTTTCCATGATGTCATTGCTAATTCTCGGACTGCAAGCAGCAAGGAGAGATATTTGTAACGCCCTCAAAATAATACATAATATCCAACATTTTAGACATGCATTGGTACAAAGAAATCAACCATTTCTATTCATCAAGGTAATTCTTACAACTGTATTACATGTTAACAATAAAAGCAAATGCCCTATGGGCTTACAGCTTTCCAAGTTAACACTTGGTTACTAAAAAAAAGAGTACTAACTCAATACATCTTAAGCCCTTGGCTTGAATTTACATGTAATACATCAAAATAAACAAAAGAAAGAGTCTTCAACTCTCATCATCATCCAAGCTATGTTCTTGG